TTTTCAAGTCTCAATGAGTTATATATGTAGATAGAGATTTTTTTACGTCAATTTTATTTACGTCATAACTTGGCCCTTCTATATCATTTGCGTTTCAGCAATTTTGCACAAAGCATTTTATTCAGATAAATTTGCTTTCCGAATTGTGGCGTTCTGCGTGACTTTGTGCGGAAAAGGGAGCAACGCGCTCACGTTCGTCTCGAGTGTGTGCGAATCGATGGTGAATACGTGCGCCTCGAAAAGCAAGCGAAACGATTTCCACGAAGGTATAAAAAAGAAAAATGCAAGAACAAGCCGCTCGGAAATAGCCGTGGTTAATTTTGCGCCCGCTCCATGCTATAAACGTACATCATAGAGGGTTCGCGTCTGTTCATCGTCTCATCTTCTACTCGCTCTTCGTTGAGTCTCTTCGTTCTTCTTCTTTATTTGCTTCTCTTTCTCTCGATCTCTCTATTTTAAAGATATTCCTCTTTTTGAAAAAAATGTTGCTTCTTCTCCGCGAGAGTATGACAGAAATTAATATTATTGCAATATTGATATATATATGGCGAACATATATAGCAACTTTAATGTATTTTTGGATTTTGTAGTTGATGTAGTTATTATATCTATACAGAATATAGTTTAATAAATATCGTTTTTATATTCGCTTTTAACATAAATTAAATCTATTATAGTTTTATAATAATTATCGTGTAATAATAATTATGTTTACTATATAGATATGAAGTTAGCAATTTACAACAATATTTTAAAACTTTAATTATTTGAAAAGTATTTAATAATAAGAAAGTTGTTAAAGTTAAGAGATAAAGTGCGAAATAATGATATTTATCAATGAAATTCACTTAAAATAACTTTCAACCATTAAAGTTGATTGTAAATTCAGTTTGACTACTTGCTGGCAAAAATATGTGGTTGATATTAAATTTGATATAAATAAAGTATGACTTGAATATTAAATAGTTGTTAGTTATTTGTGAAAGTTGTAAACTTGAAAGAAAATTTCTCATTGATCGTGCGAGCATTTTATACAATAATCGAAAAAGTATTTGTAAACTTTTTGGAGCGTTTAAAAAATCAATAATTTGTACTCGCAAAAAAAAATATTACGGTGCGCGCTTGCGCTTGCGTTTTACTGTTATTTTCACGATATTTATTTGCAGTTTCAGCGCGATCTTGCAACCCCAAAATGTCAGTCCTCTCTTTGTTTTCATGATATTCCTGTCACGGCCGTCAATCGAACTTGTATCTGAGCGTTAATCACTTTATATTCCACATACGCACAATTTTATTATGAAATAATTACACTTTGCGAAAAAATATATTTTTAGAGATTAGAAAGTGATATGGTTTTTAAATCGCAACTATTATATATATTAGAAAATTTTCTTTTAGTAAGATAATACATATAATAAAAGAAAATATTATGTTTATCAATATACAATTCTTTTTCTCAGAATAACTGGACAAAAGAAGAGCAACCAATATGTTGCTAATCATCTTTCTTGTTCATTAACTCTTGTCATGTTATGCTTTTTGCTTGAGCAATAGAAGATGTGTTTCATTTCAACCTTCTTTTATTTTTTTCTCGTGATATTGGATACATCCATCAACTCGATCGTGTCTGACCGTTAACCTCTATTTTCTGGCAATTGCCAGATGTACAAAACTCCACGTTACAAATTTACGTCGACATTTCAAGGAATATTCTACGATTCTCAAAATTTATCACGTTGTAGTCTATAGAATAAAAATCTGCTGCAATAAATCACAAATTTCAACAGCATTGAAAGCGAATGAAAAAGTTAATTGTATATTTACTAAAAATGAATGACTAAACATTTGGAAAACGTTTTTATCTAATTTATATTATTATTTTAAAATATATTTTTATTCACACACAGTCATGTTTTCTTCTACTTTTTGTTAGAATATATTTTATTCATTTATTTGTTGCAGAAAAATTGTATTTTATAGAATAAAAAGTAATTTCTTATTTGTTTTTACTGTTAGCCGATTTCTAATTTATTTAACAAAATTAATATATTTTGCATTTAAACATTAAATTGATGTGGAATTGTGTTGATGTTTACGCGTCGAAAAGAAAATACAGGATAAATATATTGTTGGAATTTTTTGCAAAGTATGAATCTATTGTATCGGATTGAGATACGAGCTATTAATAATTCGTATTTATCAAGATTTAATTAGAGTTTTCGTTTAAACATTAAATTCATTATAATGTTATATTACAATAACACATTTTGAGTTGCCTACGTGATGAAAGCTAAATGATTAATTAAAATTCCGAACAAATATGCGTAATATATGCATCCTTTTTTTAATATATGTGAATATTGTTTGTATATTTTGCATGGTGAATGTTTGCAATAGAAAGAGAAACAAACCAGAAAATTGGACGGTAAGAGAAAGCAAATAAATATGTTTTATGTTAAAATATGAAAACGCCCAAAAAAATGTGTTAGCATAAAGATGACTATATTTTATATAAATGAGTGCGCGTGTTCGTGCTTAATGTAATAGCAGCAGAGAAATATTAGATTTAAAATTTTTAGTGGAATATATAAATGGACCTTAAGTAGATTATTTGCTGTCATTATTTTATAGCATTAAAATTAGATGTGTTATGCCTGCGCGTTATATATATAAAGCAATATAAAAATTTTATTATAATATATATAATTTTAATATATTATATGCTCTCTATATATTTAAAAAAAGGATATAAATTTTAATAAAATACAGATAATACTTTTATCTTATAATATTTTTGTGCTGTCTCTGGCTCTAAGTTTTTGGCGCCTATGCTTGACAGAAACGTCCATTATTGATGACATCCATTAGCTGCCGCAGAACTGCATTTCTGGAGAAGCAAGAGTCGTTGAGCTGAAAAAATCGGTTAGGACAACGACACCCGAACGACTCTCTGACGTCATTGACAATGTTTCGTTAGCAGGCTAAAATCATTCTGTGATGTTCTTGACAAGCGAAGCCGTAGACGTATTTAAAGACATAAGATTACGTCGGCTCTCTCTTTCGTCACGTGTTCACGTTTATTCTGCTCTGGTAGTTTCTCTCTGGAAACTGGTTTATTCACAGCTTTGATTATTTTTTTATCATTGCTTTCATTTCAAGAGAAAGAGATGAGAGCGAGAGAAGGAAGAGATAAATGAATCGATAAAGCCTAGTGATTCCTGTTTTTTTTACTCTTTTTTTCTCTCTCGTCCGTAAATAAAATAGTATGGTGTGAAAAACATATAATTAAAATGCTTTGCCTATAATTAATGTATTATGTATCATAATACACAGAAAAAAAGAGAAAGAGAAGAATGCGGGAGAGAGAAACGGAGACAAATTAGAAAAAAGATAATTATTTATTTGTAGATTTAATAGAAAACAGAGAATTTATTAATTTATTTGTTAGGAAATAAAATAAAATATTTGTATAAAGATTCTAGTTTTGAGACTTTCGCGGCCATTAAAATCATCAATGCAAAAGGTTTCCGGATGGATGCCGCGTGGTTTAACAGCGTAATGCCAACGTTTCGCAAACGTTGCAGTTTGCATCTTCAGGGCTGAGAGCTCCGATATTGAGCTTTCTTGGGTTTTGGTCCTTATATATATTATGGGAGATTTTTCATCTACGGAAAAGTATTTCGTAATGACGCCGCTTAGTAATGTGAGTGTATATTAAGGGCAGTGTGCCAAATAGGGTTGTTTGATAACCTTTGTCGCGGTTGAGGTTGTCGGGATGTTTCAGAATTTCTAGGGCTTCACGATGTTTCCTGGCGAAATAGCTTTGCGAGGGGGCTAGTCTGGTTGCTTTATCGTATTGTACCGAGTATCTCGTCTCCATCCAATGTTCTGCCAAGGCTGATTGACTAAAATGGCAGTACCTGGCATTCCGTTGGTGTTCCTTAATTCGTGTACTGATCTTTCTCCCAGTTTCTCCTATGTACACTTTTCCGCAGGAGCAAGGAATCCTGTATACACCTGGTGTTTCGAAGTGTGGTTTCCGGTCCTTGGGATTAGGAAGTAGTTGCGCAATTTTATTTTGAGGTTTGGAAATTACTTTGATATTGTGTTTACCCAGGATCCTGCTAATGCATTCTGTTGTACCCTGAAGATACGGAAGGATCGTTCATTTTTTATCTTCTTTTTCTTCTTCTTTTTCACTTGATGCACTCATATTTGTAAAACTGGAGATTTTATTTTTCAGCCTTTCAGTTGTTCGATGGATGTCTTTGATGTTGTACCCATTCTTGGTCAAGACTTGGTTGAGATGTTCTAATTTTTCATTCAGGGAAGTTGATTTAGAAATTGTTAAGGCTCTGTATATTAATGAACTGATGACAGAATTCTTCTGAGCCGGGTGATGATGAGAGGTGGCATGGAGATAACGATCTGTATGTGTTGGTTTTCGATAAACCCGATGGCCTAAGGTGCCGTCTTCGTTCTTTTTAACTAACACGTCTAAAAAGGGGAGCTGATTATTCTGTTCTATTTCTATTGTGAACTGAATACTGCGGTGCTGAGAATTTAGAAAGTCGAGAAATTGAGAGAGCGTTTCTCTGTCATGACTCCAGATGACAAAAGTGTCATCAACATATCGAAACCATGTAGAGGGTTTGAGAGGTGCGTTTTTTAGGACTTTATTTTCAAAATGTTCCATGAAAACGTTTGCAATGATAAGTGAGATGGGGGATCCCATTGCTGCTCCGGAGGTTTTTTCATAGAACTCTCTTTGAAATATTTATGTAAAGCTTCTTTTTTTATATTAAAATTTAGAGTGGTTTTCTAATTTTTATTAGCAATATTATATTTACTAAATTTATATTATATTAAACACACACACACACACACACATATACATATATGCATATCTTTATTTCTCTTCAGGTATTATTGAACGATATTGAAAATATTCTCCCTGAAAGCTTTCTGAGATATTCATTATTTTTTAATTTTTATTACAGATGTGCCGAGTGAACAATCCGTTTTTGTGATGTTAAATGGAGAAGAAAGCGAACTTAAATTTTTAAACATTGCTAATCCTAAGGTGAGGAACCATCTCTGTATTTATTATACACGAAAGCATGCATTTTAAAATGTAAAAATAGAATATCAAATCAGGATATAAGACTATCTAAGGACATTTTTGTAACACATAAATTAAAAAATTAAAGTTAATAGCAATTGTCAAGATTGCAATTGTTAAGCTATAAATATAAATTTATTGATTTATTTGAATTAATTAAAAAATTGCAATAATAATAAAAAGAAATAAAGAAATCTACACAAATAATAGAATGAAATCAAATTAACAGATATAAAGGAGAATTTTTATAGCGTTGTAATTGCGTTTTAATTAAACGCGATTCAATCAAAGTTTTACTTTTTATTTTATTATTTGAAACGTAACCAGAGAGTTTAGAATTTGCTGTTAATTAAATAAATTTGATTTAAGCCGATATTATTAATTGATTTTGCAGACCGAATTAGAAAAAATGCCGTTGCCGGACGCCTTTGTTGTAATGTATTCGGTGATCGACAAGGCGTCCTTTCAAAGAGCCGAGGAATATCTCGCTCGACTTCACGATCAAGATCTTCTTCGTGGTAGACCGGCTATTCTGGTCGGGAACAAGGTCGATTTGGTTCGTTCTAGAGTGGTTTCGCCCCAGGGTAAGAGGCGGAACATCTTTCTTTTTTACATACATTTTTTCATGGCTAAATGATTTTGTGATATTTTATAAAACCAAATGTTCATTTAACGTAATATATGGTATCTAAAATAAAAATAAGAACCATTTATCTGTCACATTGATATATATTTATTTAAACAAATCTTTTTTATTGATTTATTTACTTTTTTCTCTTTCTTCTTTCTTTTTTATCAATTTATTATAAAAATAAAATACATTATTATATTAAAATTAAACTATACAATAAATTAATAAAGTAAATATTCTATGCATTTTATCTGCAATCGAAATATCGTTTTTTTCATTAAATTTATGCTACGAGATTATTTTAGATTCTTTATATTAGAGACGAGAAATATAATTTTAAATACTTTCCTTCACTGTGATTTTTCACACTATTTCAAAATCTGGATTGTGCATTGCAGACGGGAAATGTTTGGCTTGCACCTACCGTGCAAAATTCGTCGAAATATCAGTGGGCATCAATCACAACGTCGACGAGCTCTTGGTCGGTATACTCAATCAGATCCGTTTGAAAGTGGTCCAGGGCAACCAGGAACATCGGAGCAGCAGTGGCGGCAGCGAAGGCAGCGGTCACTGGTACAAATCCAGAGGTGTCGTGCGCGCCAGCATGAAAGCCAGACAAATGTTGACCTGGCTGTTCGGCAAGGAGGATAGCAAATTCAAGAATTGCGAGAACCTTCACGTACTTTAAATCACAGCGAGAATTTGCCCGACTTCTGTTTTATTAGTACGTAAGTACGACGCACATGACTTCTCGATATTTTTTTTCGAAGAAAATTCTATTAGAATTCACAAAGTTCTCGAGAACTGAAGGAATTCCTACGTGTCGGGGAAGACAAAGTAAGAGTTGTGAAAATGTAGTAGTCTGAATGGATAGAATGAATGTGTCTCTCTGACTCAAGAAAATCTAGTTTAAGATTCTGAGTCAAATGTGGAATCTTTACGATAGTGCACGAGAGTATTTCATTATTCTGTATAGGATGAATAAACGGTCCGAGGACCAAAAGGGATATAATTATTGGATAAACGAAGTGCCAATTAGTGAAAATTCACGGCGTTTAAGGGATGATATGTGAAAATGTCGCTCGAATCTGTGCTCATTTAACTGAAATTGCCTGAGAAATGTAAGTGATTAATCCTTTTAGTCCCAAATGTGGCAGATAATAATTGCTTTTCAGCAACTTTAATATCGACATAAATTTTGTCTTTACGTTTGCGCGCGTAACTCTTCCTTCCTGCGATAGATTAAATACATTAAATTATTCATTAAAAATATTTCTTTATTCACGCGATGCTATTAGAAGTTCAAATAAATTAGGATGTTCAAACAATTCGTACATAACTTTTTCTCAAAAATAATTTGGGACAGAAAAGGAATTAACGTTCTGACAAAGTTCTGAAGACAAAGTAAGATTGTGAGAATGTAGTCTGAATGTATAAAACAAATGTGTCTTTCTGACTCAACAAAATGTTTAAGGTTCTGAGTCAAATATGGAGTCTTCACAATATAATAGTTAAAAGAGTAATTCATTATTCTGTGCAGGGAGAACAAACGGTCCGAGGACCAAAATGGATATAATATATTGGGTAAACAAAGTTTATAAAATATGAAGAAGTTTTATCATACATTTTTCGTTAGTATTCTGACGAAAAATAAAATCTATAATATAAGGAGCGAAAGGGACGCATTTATATGTCGCACCGCTGAAACTAGTAGCCCTTAATAATGCAATCAAAAGTTCAAATCAATCATGACGATAAGAGAGAATCAAATTGGACCATGGCGTGAACTAAAATCGCTCTATTAAATTTACAATCTTACTGTATAATAAGACCAATTACACACACTTAATCTTTCTATTTAGTACGTACGTGTATATGTATATATATACGTAAATTTTACGTGTACGCGTATATCCGCAAAACAAAGCATATTCTATATAAATATACACACATGTATCCTTAATCTCCTCCTTGACAACTTAGATTACACAAAAATGTCAAAAGATTAAAGATGTCTAAAGGACGATGAGAGGTCTTTGAGTCGTTTTCTAGACGTCTTTTCGAGGCACGTGTTGTCTGAGAAGTGTCAATTCTACTATGACGACATTATGTTGTTGCAAATAAAATAGCGCTGCTATTCTTGCATCGTTATAAATTGGCTTACAACGCGAGTGTCATTAATTTCTCGTGTTCCAATGGACTTCTTCCTATGCAATGACTTTCGTTATTGCGTTGCGGCCAACTTTGTGCTCTATATATGCTAATAAAGTTTTGTACAGAAAAATTACTTTGCCACACGTATTTAACATTTACATACATTTATTACTTTTAAGAAAGACATAGTGTATAAAAACTAGCTACTATATGTTAAACTAAAAATATTTGTTATGTTATATAGAGCGAATCTATACATTGTGTAAGGTTCTTATCACTTGTATTACAAAGTAGACGTTTGATTGCGTATTTTGATATCAAAGATGTGTTAAGCATTACACGATACAACTGCATATCAGATAACTTTTAATTAGCAGTTTGTGTGCGAGGTCTGATTCTATCAATTCCTTAGTCGAATATTTTATTAATTACATTATTTATATCGATTATTTTGTACTTATTGATATAGCAAATAATATGTAATTTGATAATGTGGCGTTTTTGTATGCAACATTATGTCGCAGCGAAGATGAAATGTATCGTGTTTCGTGTTTTATTCGCGCGCGTCGCGAGAAAGAATGCAAATATTATGTAGTAACGTATGCAAACTGTAAACTTCTGAGAAGAGAAATATCCTTTTCGAATCTTTAAAGAGAAAGGAAGAAAAGTGTCTATAAAAATCTGTCTATTTTCTGCGATCTCTATGCCTGTATGTCCGAATTATATCAATGTAGCATGTCAAATCAGAATGGCGCTTACATGACGAGAACAATGCGTCGCTTTGACGTGAAACTTTGCCCTTCTTGTGTGTGAATATTTCATCGTCCGCCGAATATACTATGTATACGAGAAATTAACGTTTTCGGATTTACAGTAGGAAATTATAACGGACTTCCTTTTTCTCGTTATACCAGTAAATTTTGAAGTGTTTTTTGTCTCTTGATGAACCAAATAAAAATTAAGAAGTTTCCTTCGCCATTCTTCGTTCTCGTCGCCGTCATCGTTATTCAATTAATCAATCGTTAAGCGCGAGTTGTGACGAATACGCTGTGTGAATAATGAATTTAAGTATTTATCTCCAGATGTGTCTGTTAAACGAGAAACCGAAGATTCTTACCAAGTGCCTTTGCGTATTTTTGTAATTTAAGCTAACTCAGTGTAAGCCCCATGAGTATCGTATACTGTATAATCTATTATTATACATATTATATTACGGATATATTTATTTGTTGTTAATTTATCATGTTACCTGCGAGATCGCGCCGCATTAAATACTCGGTGAGCGTAACTTTTCATTCAATGTACAATGAACTTTATTTTAGATTTCCATTTTAAAGCTCATTAAAATATATTTAAGAAGTGATATTTAAGAAGTGACAAGCAATTTCTTCCGAATAAGATTTTGCAATTAAAGTTAACCCGAATAATTGCAATTCGTTAACACCGAATAAATTTCTTCGTTCGTTTGTGCCATTACTGTCGTTCGCGTCTCCTGAAAGCTGTGGATGTAATTTAGTATTAAAGTTGTCATTGTGTCTGTTTGCTGTAATACGTGACGTGACAATACTGCCAGTCCTTTGGTTAATAAAATGCTGAGAAAAATTCTGCTGCAACAATTCGATATCACGATATAAGCAAGAATTTTGGAAACTTTGATTGCTTGATTCTAATGTGTAAACATTTTCACATGCTATTTATATTATTATGTAATCAACAATGCATGCATTTATTAATATGTAAATTTATAGATCCCACATATGTTTGTTAATTTTATCTGTTGATTAAACAGCGAGTTCTTTGTTTAAAATTTCAAGTTGAGTCTTGTAGTTTTTTAAATAAAACACGCGTAAAAATATTGAGATGTCATAACTGGATTAGAATCGAATTATAGATTAGAATCAAAAGAAGAAATAATTCATGAATACCATTAAATAACAAAATCCAATACTTGTTTCAAATTCTAAAATTTAAGATTGAATCACTAAACTATTTAGTACTTAATGTAATTGTAGGAAATCCAAAGTTCCTTCAGATTTACTTACAATAGAGCTTCAAGACTGGCGAATCTTTTGATTATATTAATAACTTAACAATAGAATCTTTAAATTTTTAAACTTTAAATTTCTAACTCTTAGAATAACAAAACAGAATAAAATATATTTAAAAAGAATTAGAACAAGTCATATTTTCTTTATTTATTGTTTTATTAAAGAATAACATCGATGATATAAATAAGGCTATAATTTATTAATTACATTTAATTCCTCAATTCTTATTAATTTTTATTAACTCTTTAGATTTTCATCGCGCAACGAAAATCAACTGATTTATAAAGCTATATATAAACCAGCGTAGGCTTTTCCTCAATTATTATTAGCACTATACTTCTTTACCACGTGGAGGAATTAACACGTGTTATATAGAAAGCACACTGACATGCATTTTTCTTGGACCCTTGCCTGTTTTTTTTTTCCCCCGAGCCAATATCTATCGTAAATCGTTGATATCGTGACGCTTTGTTAATAAATACTCGCGCCAGACGCATGCGCTTTGCACATTGATTATTTTACCTGGTACCAGATATTGCCTGTCGTTAACCAGGCAGATTGCCATGCGACCAAGAAAAACAAGTTTTCGTAACCTCGAATGTACGTTTATGAATGTGATCAACGCTGGACACGAACGCTCTGGTACTTAAGAAAGGATGCACCCGACAAGTGCATCAAATTGGCTGCGGTTTTTTATCAAAGATGTATAATGCTGCTGTTTATCAAAGTAAAAGGATGTAAAATTGAACACTTTTAATATATATACATATATATATATTATATACACACACATACTAGGTAAGAGAGAAAAGAAAGGGAGAGAAAAAAAAGAAAAATTTATAGATCTAAGATAATTATATGTTAATACGCAAAACATATGAAATATATAGATGCATGTAACGATATGAATTTTCTTTGATATTCAAATGTAGCTTTACTGATGATTTACAAACTATTAGTATGTAAACTGTAATAAAATAGATTAATTTTCGTAATTGCCATGATGAAATGTGGTGAAATAATAAGGAGAAATTAAACTTTTATTTTAAAACTATTTTTCAGCGTTAATTATTAGGACAGCTATTATTACAATACTGTTTTAATTAATGATGCAGTTAATATACTAATGAGATATTTTAATACCTTAGTAATTAATTATGTGTTTGCATTCATGTATTAAAAACACTATTAGTTTTCCATATTATTATCTATATATTATTGTAATATGTTATCATAACATATACGCAAAAATATGTGATCTAATATTTTATTATATTAAATGATTAAATGCAAAAAATATATTTTAGATATTTTTTGGAAATTTTTATTTAATGTCCGGAAGATAAAGTATCACATCTATTTATGGCATCTGGAAAGCCAACAACGTGTAAAGAAGCTATACGACGATGGGAAGAGGAAACTGGGCAGGAAGCAGCTACGGCAACAGAAGTAATTTTAAGTTTTCAATGGCCACCAATAGAAAAGATGGATAATGCATTAGCAGTTTTAGCCAATTGTGAGAAACTCTCTTTGTCGACAAATATGATTGAAAAAATTGCAGGTAAAAAATATGCTGTATTTTCTTTTATCAAATCATATATTCCGTACATAGTTATACTTGTCATTTTTAACAAATAATTAGATGATATTAATTAATTAAAAATTTCTATTATTGTAGTTTACTAAATTAGTAGAATTATTTATTTAACTGATCTGAGTTTATTGTAGTTATTAAATTACGTTAGTTATAATTTTTTATATTATTTATTATATATAATATTTTATATTATTTTATTATATTAATCGTCAAAATATATGCGACGTATATATTTTTCTCGATGATTCAAAGATAATTTGTGATGTATAAATATAAAGACAAATAATTTTTTGAAATTATTTTTTTCATATTTTCATTGTTGTACCCGTTAATTCAACGATTATTATTTATGAATTGATTCATTTATGTAAATTACGATACATTTTACATACCGCATCAGAATCGATGTTTACTCGAATTTCTGTTAATTGCCGGATGCATAATGCATATCTAAGCGGATGGTTGTCTCAGTAACGCGATGCAAATATGGTTATGAATTTCACATCATTATGAGAATGGATCGCGAGAGACATGCATTAACACTTTCAATTGTTACTAATTTGCTGGTTGGAGATTATTAATGTCACTGTCCATTATAATCTGTCGTAATGTCGACGACAATTATATTTGATCGCTTAAGACATTTCCAATGCTCAATAAATGCTTTTGCAATATTAGTATATTTTATAAATTTTTAATTTGTTTTTTAAATATAAGTGAATATAAAATATATTTTATAATTTTTCTATTAATCATCATCATAATATATGATTTATGCGATATTTAATATATTGATACATATATAGATTGTAATAATTATAATTATACATAGAGTAAAAATTATATAATTTAATAGAAATGATTTCATATGTATATAAAAACTAAATTTAATTTTTTTTAATATTTCATGTTTTGTTTTTCTAGGCATTGGTAGTTTAAAAAATTTAAAGATTCTATCGTTAGGTCGTAATTTAATCAAAGGTTTCGCTGGTCTTGAAGCTCTGGGTGATACTCTCGAGGAACTTTGGATTTCTTACAATTGCATCGAGAAAATGAAAGGAATTCAAGCAATGAAAAATCTTCGTGTTCTCTATATGTCTAATAATTTGATACGAGAGTGGAATGAATTTGCTAGATTACTAGAACTTCCAAATCTTCGAGATCTAGTTTTCGTTGGCAATCCGTTGTATGAAAGTCACGAGGTATTATTTATTAATACGTGTCATGTGAAATAAAATTTTCCTATATGTAACGATATTTATAATTTCTGGATTTAAAAAAAGGAAAAAAAAAGACTATTCTTCTTTTAGGTAGAACAATGGAGAATCGAGGTTGCGCGGCGTTTACCAAGTTTGGAGAAACTCGATGGTGAACCTATAATACGAACAGAAGAAAATCCAATTTCGATTCAATCAGCCAAGACTGATAGTCCATCGCATGGTTTGCTTGAGCAAGAATCTGGTTAATTTTTTGACAACGCATATAATTTAGATTTCTCTTTTATATCTTTCATAAACAATTTGATATATTTATATTTGTTATCATGTATTATTAATATCTCTTAATTAGTAATGTGATTATAAGTTTGCGATCAGAGAAAATTATTAATCATTCAAATTATTATAAATCAATAAATCACGCAATGTACATTTATATTAATTTATTCGTCTCACAATACAAGACAGATCGTATATACGTTTTGGTGGTTGAAAAAGGTTGAAAAAGCAAATACAGTAGAGTTCGATTGGATTCGATGCACGAAATATATCGAGGATCAGACAGACGAATAATCTTCGAAGGCTGCTCTTCACCATCGTTTGCTTCTTTTTTTGTCTCTTTTTTTTGTCATACAAGGCGTGCAAAATATTGAAATGTGTTACGCGGGACGCTTGTTTGTATAATTATTGTATTTTTTGGTGTAATTACGTAATAAAATGCGCTCACACGCGCGCGTGATGCGTGCATTAGAAAAATTGACATGTGTGTGTGTGTGTGTTTGTTTGTATGTGTGTGCGTTCGGTTGAATTCTTATTTGTCTTTCCGTCCCATTTTTGATTTTTCGATTCTTTACAATATTGATTTGTCAGCGTTGCCAATTTTATTCCACATCAATAATATATAATATTAGTTTAAATCTATGATCTCTCTTACATAAATATATATTATTCGATTACTCAGTTTAAATTATTTATAATAATTATTACAAACGAATAAAAGTTTCATTGAACTTGCTTGGCATTATTGATAAGACACAATATTCTTATTATTAATTTAATATTTCACACTTTGAATAGTATTAATATTTGGTTCATGGAACAAATTAATAAAATTACACTTTAAGAAATTAATACTAATTTTGCTTTTGTATAGCGTAATTTTGCTTTTTAATAGCGTAATTTTTTATTCGAATATCACGGGCGTTATATGTACGAGCTTTAACATTAGTCACGAAGAATTCGTCAAATTTATGTCAAAAAGTCTGCATAGAAAGTAAAATTAATAAAACAATCATATGCTGATATATATAACAGATAGATTTTTAAACGAAAATTACATTACACTTTTAATAATGATTCTTTCAAAAATAGATTCCGTACCTTTAAAACTTTCTTTCTTACATTTCATGTCTTATTCCTTTTCGATGCTGAAGAGATTATAGAGTAACTTATCTGAGAAAAGAGTCTCTGTTTTCGTCGCACAAGCAGTACGTTCAACGAGAAAGGTCATAATTAGTTCTCCAGGAGATATAGAATTACGTAGATGGTGAAAAGATAGAAAGAGATTTTAGTCAATGACTAAGAATAAGAAAAATATTATATATATCGATCCTCTCGGTTCGATCCGTGCCGTCGAAACGACACCGAAAGCGGCGCGGCTGCTCTCGCGGGGAGGAAAATACATCTTTAAATTATTAGAAATTAATTATAAATCACTAATTATATTAATATAAATAATAAATATATAAATAGTTTTTAAATTATTAAAAAATATATTACATAAATTTAATTCTATTTTGAATAACAAATTGTACGTAATTAAATTTTTTTGACAGAACAATATTAAATTTTGATGTGCCTTTAATTTTATATTATTGACGATTATATTTTATTTACGTTTAATAATTTAATTAGTCTAATCAATATTCTTAATTTAGATGATAATGTCATTATTCGTTGTGCGTTGCATTGTCCGAAAGAATGAGAAACTAATACGATTAAATTATTGTACATATATATATATTTTTTAATTTAGGAGAATAATAAAGAGATTGAGTGTATTTTCCTCCAAATTTTGTCGTGAATCAATTTTACATAATTAAAATGGAAATTTCCATGATTAGTCTCGATAACTTTCTTTTTTATATAAGCTATTTGCGAAAATAATTGGATTTACAGAAAATCATTATATATTTTTATGGCATATATTTATATTCCTATTTATAAAAAATCATGAAAATTTCCAATTTCTATGCGCAATTGATACTCGACAGACAAAAGTGAAATCGTTCTTTCGCAAATAAAAGTCCCGTTCTTTTAAACAATGTGAACACTGGTGTTTTTTTTTCAGAACATACACACAAGTATTTAAATATTCGCGTGGGCTTTCCTGTACAAAATGTAAAATAAAAAACTTTGCGATTGCTTCGGTGTCAAGCCCGACGAAACGGCTTTTAAACATTTATCTTTAGCTACGTCACATCGTGTTCACAATTTTCATGTGCTGCATATATCGTTTCGCTTTTTTACATCTCTTCTTCTGACACAAAAATAGTTCTGATATATTTTTCTTGATCCTCTTCTCCGCATCTTTCCTTTTTTTTCTTTTTTTTCTTTTGAACCAACACCGATTATATTCACAATTTACACTGAAATAGATCTGACGGATCTTTAGGATAAAGGTTGGTAAAAAGATAGGCAGAGAAAGATAGTGTTCGAGAGAAATGCGGAGAGAGAGAGAGAGAGGGAGGGAGGGAGAGAGAGAGAGAGAGGAAGAGAGAGAGAGAGAGTGAGAATCGACGATGTCTTCGCAGGGATGAATTTAGTCCTCTCTTTTTTTTCTCTTCGATCTTCTCATTGATTCTTAATTTTAATATACAAGTCTTAAAGTCGGTTGCAATATTCTTTTTCTCTTTCCTCGGCACGTAATGTGCTTACGTGGCGAATCGTTGTTTCTGCTTCTTTACAAAATCGAGAGCAATTTTGTCGCCGACTCGGGTTTCCAAAATTTGAAGGATTGGATGATCTAGAAACAAAAGACAGTTTATTCGTGAAAGAAATAAAACATTGTTTTAAAAATTATAATGTGAATGAAAATTACAGGTAAAAAAGATGTTGGTAATATTTAAATAATATTACAATATTATATAATATATATTTAATTAACATTTAAATATATTGCCACATTTAAAAAATTATTAAGAACAATTTTGAGTTAAAAATATTAAATTAAACCATTTTATTATCCCTTTCTAAAAAAGGTAAGCAAAGTCAATTATCGCAAATAATGTTGCTGTTTTTTCGTGATGCTGATTGATTGTCTCAATTATCATTGTATGTTATATTTAGCATCAAACAATTGCCATCATGAAGATTAATAGTTACAAAGTAAAAAATAAAAATAACATCAATAACGCGCGTGAAGCGCGCGCTTGTGTTCTGGTACATAACAAAAATTCAGAAATTAAATTATATATATATAATTAAAATTCGGCAAATTAAAATTATGTATGTAATAAACATTCGAGAATTAAAATTAAAATATAAAATATATAATAAAATATAAAATTAAAATATAACTGTTTAATATATAATATATTGTCGCATTTATACCTGCATTATTTTTTAATGAAAATTATTGAATTGTAATTCTCAAATTTGTATTAGTATTCTACTATCAGTTTAATATACTAACAATAATTTGCTATCATAATTATACTTGATAACAAAACTGAGTTTGATTTATTAGTTGACACAATTACTTTTACTTGTGACTTTCTATTGTATTAACAAATCTGCTTATAAATACTAAATTTATGTAGTATATACATATATCATTTCGTTTAATCTGACCGAATATAATTACGCACGGAAAGCAAAGTCATTTATTCTTTGATAAAATTTCAAAAATTGCGACGCATGCACGCAAAAATTATTATTGTAATCAATGCATAAAAATATTTTAATTAATTATGTAACGCATAAAAATTCAATATTTAAATTTTTAATAGAAAATACAAACAAAGAAATAAAATTTTCTACAAGAATCTTTTGTGATCAAATATCTATGCTTTCATTAGACTCGCGCGAGACTCTTTACCCTACACGTCTATCACTCTGCGCGCTTCGCGCGGGACTGATTCTCGTACGAGTATCGCGAGCGCGGGACCGATGGTCACATGACCAGTGGTCACATGATCAGTCATGTGACCACTGGTCATGTGACCATCGGTCCCGCGCTCGCGATACCTCGTACGAGAATCAGTCCCGCGCGAAGCGCGCAGTGTGATGGATGTGTAGGGTGTACTAATCTGATCACGTGATCAGTTTCGCGTAAGCCATACAGCGTAGCGAACGCGTACAAACGCGCGAATCTAATGGAAGCGTAGATTTTGATCGAAAGATTCTTGTAGGAAATTATATTTTTTTTCTTAAAAATTTATATATATTGAATTTTTAATCACGTAATTAATAAATATATTTCTATGCATGTATTGTAATAATAATTTTATACATGCGTTGCAATTTTTGAGATTTTAAAACCTTAAATAATTTTAATTCGCCGAATTTCTATTATGTACATAATTTTAATTTGCCGAATTTCTATTATGTACATAATTTTAATTTGCCGAATATCTATTGTATTGTTTGAAATCTATAATCGGATCTATAAATATGAAATTATGAATGTGATTGAATATTTTTCAAGATATTAAAATTTCCAGATTTATAAATTAAGGAATTTATCAATATATCATTAATTAGCCAAGCTCTTAACTTGGAGATTTAAGAATCATAATTTTATTAATCCTAAAAATTCGTAAAAAAATTGTTTAATTCTTAACTCACTCCGATTTTTCTGGTGCATAAGTGGTAATTCCTGATGTTTGAGGCCGTGGAAATTGTCTATGTTAGTGTTTGTGTCGGCAACGCCAGGAATGGTACCAAGTCCCAAGAAAGCCTCACCAGCAAAATCATTTGCCGTGAGAACATCGTGATCCATTACCGTGAAAAGAATCATCGCGTTAGGATCACGACACTGCTCCACGTGTACCGAACTTAAAACAAAGAAAGTAAGTGTATTAAAAACTGGATATCTTCTCGATTATCTAAAATATAGATGATAAGAAATCACATTACATAAGACAAATAGTTTTAATAAACTTTTTGGAATATGTGACTTTTAAAATGAAAAAGAAGATCAAATGTAATATACTCACAATTCAAAACACTCGTCAAACATGGGATGTAGAGTTCTTTTTTTGATATTAGTTTGCTGTTCGGCGCAATGTTCGAACATTCGTCGTGGTAGCAATTCGATTATAACGAAAGGATCACTGAATCCATTCGGATCTAACGGTATAACGTCTCTGGCACTTATCACTTCAACGCACAGAGAATCGTGATTTAAATAAGCTCGCACTGTTAGAACTCCATATTCATAGCTAACTGTGTTGTATTGGTCCTAAAAAATTGACATATAGACATATTTCAGAAAATTTAACATTTTATATTATATCTACTACATATTTTACAAATACATATTGAAGAGAAAAAATATTTTTTAAAAATATAAATTAAAAAATTAAAAATTATACTCAATTATACTTATTGTTAATTTGTCAATTTAAATAAATAAATAATTTTTAATATCTTGTATACATATCTTATACCTGAAGACGTTGATAATAAAATCGATCGATCAAGAAAGTTGTATCCATTTTGTGATATTGAAGGCGCTCTTCTGCATTCATGAAACTTTGACGACGTAATGCTTCTAAAGGTAAACCCTTGTCATCAGCATTGAAAAATTTCACTAATAAATCAAGTGCCTCGTGCAATCTTTCGTAAAACATAATTGGTTTATCCTGCAAATAACAATATTTTTTTTTCTCATTTATAATCTAAAGTATTCACAAATACGTAATCAGATATTTTAACAGGTCTTAACATGTCATTCAGATTGCCGAAATAATTTTATTTTTTTATCATATAATTTTATTATAAAAAAAATTTATATATAATTACGAGGGACAATACCTCAGCATTTCCATCCATTTGGCTGCTTAATTCGCTCAGCACCACTTCCCAAATGTCTTGCAAAATGCGATTGAAATTCGCAGCAAGTAGAGCTGAGTTGAGTGCGACCAGATGAACATCTAGATATTCGACGAGAGGTGTTATCGCCTCTGTAGTCGGTAGACTGTCAGGAGACCAAGCCAAGTGAAACATCGCTTTTTTTAAAGGCGGTCTCATCTATAAATCAAAGTAAAATAAAAAAGAAAAATTATTTTACATTCTTAATTGGCTTACGACTTCTAGTTTGCTTAATGTTTGCGAAAAACGCTAAAATTTTGAATTTAAAAATTAATGGTTCTATAAGTCCTAAGACATTCGTTTTGAGCTCGTTTTGTAGATACTAAAAAGAGCTTTAAAATGTGTCCAAGCTTGTTGCTCTACTATTTAAACATATTATTTTAATTTTTAAATATTATCATTTTAAATTTAATTAGCAAATTCATAACGCTTTAAGTCAGTTGATTTCTGTCAAAAGAAATTAATTGTTCTAGTAAATATAAAAAATGATGATTAAAATTAAGAAGAAAGTTAAATTCCGCTCATCTAATCTATTTAAAAAGTATAACATTATTGATTTTAATCAGGATAGTGGAGTAATTATAAAGAATATATAGTACAATAGTTTCTTAAACTATAATAAAAGAAAACAACTAGAATAAAAAGAAACTAAAGAACTAAAGAGCTAAAAGGAAAATTATAATTGCTTTGCTTCAGAAAACCTTTAATTTAAAACTTATGAATAATAATTTTGATTTTTCTTTCATTTAAATTTAGATTTATATTGAAACTTTTTTGTACCTTTGCTCCAATTCTCGAAACTATCTGATTTATGAAAAGCAACATTTGGTCAGGGGTTTGTTCCAGCGGCGTTATTAACGCATTCCGCCATTGTATCCGAATAGATTCGCCTGCTTGATTTTCCAAAGCCGTCAAAATCTGTTCCACGCGAAGTTCTTCGCCCAAGTTTATTAACCATCTTCTCACATACTCGAGACCATTGATAGCTACGCACATCTGAAAATAAAATGTATCAGTTAATAGCCGAGCGCTCATATAATATCATTATATAATAACAATATCGTTGTTAAGTTTCATGCGTTTAATGTTATTATCGATTTTTTATTATAAATTTTGTATAAAAAAATAGAAAAACAAATATAAAAATTCTAAGACATTATGAAGTTTATTTAATTAGATAATTAGATAATTAGATAATTATAACTATAATAAAGAAATTAATAAGTATTATAAAAAGTAATGCATACTTACATCTTTTCTATAGTATATACTCTGTATTTATATATACATATATTATCTATGCATAAGATACAATATGCTTTTATAATTTATTATATAAGCAATTGCATTAGCAGATTTATTATATAATAATTGCGCTACATGTATCGTATCATGCTTCGCTTGTCGTGCAAAAATGTAACTGCGTCTAACATTTGTTTAGCCAAATTATTTTGCGAAACAGAAATTCTACTACTATTTGTACTAAAGCGAAGCAATATCTCTACCTGAGCGATTACCTCATCTGTGGTTTTATACGGTGTATGCTCCTCATAATATCCGCTATCCGCCAGCTTTTGATGTGTTATCTCCGCATAATAAGCCGCAGAACTGCAAATTGCCTAGAGCAGATTTTAAGATTTAATACTTGTCACATTGGTATATTTTCTACATTTTACAAAAACGTAATTACGTTATATTTTTAATTATTATATTATCTATTTCGATATTAAGAAAATCGTTGAAAAATTTTGCACATAAATAAAATTTTATTTTATCAAAATATTTCAGTATAATTTAAAATATATTGTGTGTAATACAACTATAGAAAATTATGTATTACAAATATTGTTAGTTACAGCAATATAAAAAAAGATTGTGATTACTTACATCGACAACTTTCAGCACGAAATTATAAGATCCAGGTAGATCTGGCCACGCCAATTTCTTCCAGAATTCTTTAATCTTTGCGATTAGAGAAAGAAAAAATATATAATTGCTTATTATTTAATGTGCATATAAATCATCGAAACTTGATAAAAAAATCGGTACCTGATAAAAGCACGCAGTAGCATCGATTGCTGATGTGCAATGTTTGACGAAATATTCTCCAGTGCAGACTCGATCAAGTTCCGCGGCTCTTCGCACTCTTTGAACTGCTTTGAGCTTCGCCAGATCTAGCCACTTGTCGACAGCTGGTCTGAACCATTCGTAATATTTGCAGATTGCCAAAGTTTTGTGATCTGATTGCGGTAAATTGTCCTTCATGCTGAAAGCGACATTTTATATTTTTATGTTTGAGTTTTATAATTGATTGAATTTTATACTGAATATTGTACACTTATTTTTAATGCAAAATACATCCTATATAAAAATAATTTTCTTATATTAAAATAATTATACATATATTATAAACATTTATTTTAAAAAGTAATGTAATTAATAAAAATTAATAGATATAAATTAAGTGACTTACTTTACGAAATCTTGAAGTGCCAAATAAAGCTCGAATATTGGTGTTCCTATCTCAGCGCCGGGTGGCAGAACATATTCCTCATCTCTATTTTGACCATGCAACTGCAGACAAGCAGTGGTGACTCTTGCACCAAGCTCGTTATGCATCTGTGAAATCAATTGTTTTAATTATCTGCGAGTTTTTTGATAATACAAATAAAAGCACACAAGCTAGGAAAATTTATTATTTCTGTCGTATTTAAGCTACTATATTATACTTCGCGGCAATAATTTTAAAGCACTTTATCAAAATTTACAAAAATTGTTTAATATTCTATTAGCTAATTAAAAAGCTATTTTAGTTCAAATGTAGTTCTCATTAAGATAAATAGAAATAAAATTTCTATTAGAAATTGATACATGCCTAAAATTTTGCATATAATTATATATACGATAATTCATACATTATCCAACATTTTGTTCACACACACATAAAAATTTTAGTTACATTTAAATATTTATGGAATTATATTTTTTACAAAATTAAATATTTTATTATAATATTATTTTTATATTAATTTTTAAAGTTAACATTCTACTGTACAAAATATTTAAATTTCAGTAAAATTTTATCTTGAATTTAATAAATTTTGATGTATATAATCCCTTTATATATAATTAATAAATTATAAATATATGTTTGAATAAATTTGAAATACCAGTAAAAAAACTACAATATTTTAATACAAACTGCAGTTTTTTTTAGTTGAAAAAAGACCTGCAATTAAAATTCGTTTAAAATTAAATTTCACTGATGGAATTTTACTTTTGCACTTTCACCCACAAATATTTTGTACAGCGTAATAATTTGTTGGATCACATATGCGTCACTAATAATAATTATTATTGTAAACGCAGTGAAGTAAACATTAACGGATTTGCAAACTTGATAAAATTTGTATGCAAAACCATTAAAGTTCAATCTTGTGTGTAATGGCTGTAATACACGCGCCGCCGATGTGTGACGCTATGTGACTTTAGTCGAGAGAGGTCTCGAGAGTCGCGCCGGATGTCAACTCCGATGATGTAGTTAACAGGGATAAACGGGAGTTGTGCTCGCACACACAGCAAGCAGTCTTGCATTACAAAACTTTTCGAGTATCTCTACAGTAAACTGTTTGCAGAGAAGAGCACTAGTTAAGATATGCATCAGATGCATCGGGAAGTTTCAAGTACCTTCGCGCGCGATGTATCCGTGTGCAATTTGCCCAAAAGGATTATAATTAGTTTCCGGTTTCATATTCGGCTCGTTTTTAGCAAGATAAATCCTCGAAAGAACATAATTTTCTTAAAAGTTTACAAACTGTATTTAATTAATTAAATTTGTTTTTTATTTTCGAGACGCGATAAACAAGATGTGATTCAATCGGTAGAAATTGGTTCTCGATCGTATTTTTCGAGTTTGAAATTTTCAACTGTAGGATTGGACGAATGTAACTCTAGTTTGTCGAAAAACTTTGTGAGAGAACCAAGTTTTATGGCATCTACGAAAGAAATTTAATCAGAATTCACGAGAGGTGTCAAAATTTGAAGTGTGCAAGGCATTCCTGAAAATGCAAAAAATATGTAAATCACGCAATATCTATTTTTATCTTGCAAAAATATATTATTTTTAAGAATTTATTTTATAAAGATATAAATTTTAATTTTTTGTATAAAAAACTAATTTTGAGTAAAGGAATTTCACGAATAGAATCGTGTTGAAATTCTTTTATATTTTCCACATTCATGTTAATGTTTATAAAAAATACTTGGGAAACGCAAAGAAAATTTCTCATTTTTATTAAAATTTATCAAAGTAAATATTTTTATTTATATTTAACATTTAATTATACTGCTAATTAAATGTCAAAACAATTCGTAAAAACATAAAAAATATATAATTTACTTGATTTTAAAAATTATCTATATAATTTCTCTCTCAGAAATAAATTTTTGTAATTTATTTATTCATTTTTCGTAAAACAGTGAGCAAGTATAAATGCATTCCTTGTGATATGTACGATTTTACATAAAGTACTATATTAAATTCTTATGTGAATTAATTATCATTAATTTTTTTCTAGTAAATCAAATCATTATTTAGAATTAAATTTAAATTTAAATTATTATTTAAATAAAAAATATATTTAGCAATAAAAGATATTAATATAAAAAGTTCGAACTATTTGTTGATAAATTTGTTCTATTAATTGCAAGATTAGGTATGTTTTTTTCAATATTTCAATATTTTGAACTTTCAAAACAATCTTCCAAAGTACATTGCAGATGCTACAGTAATCTATACACAAATAATAGAATATTTTGGATTACTGCAGTTTTCGAAACAATAATAAGAAATAATGTATTAAATTTGTTTTCGCAATATTGCATCGCGTGCAATTTATGACTAATCCAAGTATAACAAAGCAATTGCGAGGAATAACGTGGAATACATTTGTACCTGTGATTAAAGCTATAAGTAAGTGTGTACATACAAAGGCAAATGAGTGGTGCGTCATTTGCTGAACTGGCGAGCGCATGCAATCAGTACGCGTCAAGTGCAGTTGTGTGCCACTAAGATTCTAGATAGAAGCATGCAACGCGTGCGATAGTTTTTACTCTTGGGAATTTTGTCTCGCAAGAGAAACATGCAGCAATAACGGCGGAAAATAAAGATCCATTGAAGGGTGAATAACACGAGGCAATAGTGCGCATCGACATTTTCATAAATCCGATAAATGCGGACTATAATGCGAAAGTAGCTTGACGTTAAGTCGTATACAATGAATGGACAGGGAAGCGCAATTATTCTATTGCTGACGGTAAAGTGGCACTGAAATATGTGTGTTTGTCACAATTGGTCCATAAGAAGATTTGAGACAATCAAATAAGTTTTATCAAATTTATATATAATATCTGCAACGGATATAAAGTAATGTCAATGGGAATTAAACTAATATAGGCACACTATTGCCCGTTTTGTGCGATTTCCGAATATTTTTTCTTGTGGATATTGATGTGTGTACAATTGAGAGTATGTGTTATCCTTGTGTTAAGAAACTATAACAAAGACTCAAGTACTATAGAATTCGCGAACTTAGATTACTAATTAAAATAGGTTATAATCCTTTTTAAAAACTAATGTGTACATATTTTATAATATACATGTAATAAAATATATTTAACGATTTACTAAACCGATCTTCTATCTTTGCTAGACCGTCTTTCTTCTTAACTGCATACTCATAAAGTTTCTCTTATTTTCATTATATCATTTATATTTGTATATACAAAAAATTGTAGCATAGCTATAAAATATATTATAGTTATACTGCGTGCAAGAGTTTCTATTATTAATGTATGTTTTATTATTAATGCAGTAATTTATTTATCTTTTAATGAGTAAGCAGATAAAAATGTGACGTACATACGACAATTTCAACAGCTTTTACATTATGCAGGAAATTTTAAAACAAAGGTAAAGAAAGAAAAAAAAATAGAAAAAGGCTAATAAAGAGAGATAAAAAGAGACAAAGAGAAAGAGAGAGTTTAATATTTTGTGGTGCCGATGAAAAAAGTACCTCTGAAGTGTTCTCCATGTGTTTCGCCACGTGTTCCGCCAGCTATGGACAAACATCTCGTGTACAATAAAATCGCGCTGACCTGATGGACATTTATAATTCGTCATTACATTTTTTTTCTAAAACTTAACCTAGCCCTTTCAGGTCACTGCGACTTGTTTATTTACAGCGTGTCCGGCGCAATATTTTATCATAATTTTCACTACTTTACGGTTTGTACCTTTATCTCTCTTCAATAATATATGTATTCTTTACAACGTAATAAATAACTATAACTGTGGTGCCATCCGTATTTTTATATAAAGCTATAAATTATATATATTTGGGACACTCTATATATAAACAGCAAAATGTATTGTCATCTCAATGCACGGACGTCGACCGAATTTATTTATAAATAAATAACAATTTGATAAATTAAATATGAACTTGGAAAACCAGAAATTTAATTGAATTTAATTTTTAGCAATACAATTTAGTTACGGATGAAAATAATTTATTAAGATGATATCTCTTTTCAATTTCTCACGATCGACGTCTCAAATAAAGCGTTTAAGCCAAACATAGCACATCTAGCTTGACGACACAGTGAATAAAAAATAATGATGTGTTATGTGACAGTCTTTGTGTATCTTTGACGCGACATATATTGTTGCGAAATCACAACCTATCAATTATAAATATTTTTTAAAATAATCTGTTCACGAAGAACAACATTTTTCTACCACTTGCGTTCTTACCAGTTTTTCTAGTTGCTTGTAAACTGCTGAGAAATATGGCACACCATTTGTACTGAAACACAGATTTAATATATTGCAGACACATGAAGAAGATTATACCAAAATTCTTTAAATTTTTACGATAATTAAGATTCTTGAGATAATATAATATTTATATTATTATATTAAAATTTATTCATACATAGATATTATTGTAATTTATTAATTTTTAAATGTATTTTTTTACTCATTAAATCTTTATGTCTCATAAAGTAAATTCAAGAGAAACTTACCTTTCAAAGAGACTATTATAATATAAAAGTCCCTGTTCCAGATCGACCAATAATGTGGTTACTAAATTGGTGAAGTCTTGCAGGACTCGATCAATATCCTGATCAGGTTCCTGATCGTGACACATAGTCTGTTGCCTGGTATCTTCGTACCTGAAAAATTAGAACAATCTTAATGAGTTTTATAATATTTGTCTTACGTTTCACATTATTTTCGATCTTCAGATTTGTATAGCTGTTTTTTTATTACGCATTTTTCCACCGCGTGATTATTTAAGGGTTTACATATAGAATCGATTATAAAGAAAAATAATGATATGGAAGAAAATAAAAAAGGAAAATTTTCAAATAAAATCAATTACCATTCGAGAGTTCCTTTTCTAAGAGCAGTAATAATCTCTCCTCGGATTTCCTTGTTAAAAGGACAGCAAGTTCGAAAAGCCTTCATAGTCGAGAGAAGTCCCAGACATCTATATAACAAGAGAGAGTTATTCATATGATATTACGTATTAATTTACATCATCCAAATAAGTATATTAAAATTATGATTAATTTCTCAATATATTAACAATTGAGAAATATGTTTATCATTCTTTTTAATATCATTTCAAAAAAGAAATTTACCTGAGCAGATAATCCAATTTTGATATAGTCGGTCTGTGCAGAGGTGGATAAAGTACGCGATGCTGTCTGACCTTTTTTAAAGATATCTCCAGGAAATCATTAAAGGAATCTGCCAGGCACTGCTCTGCGTCACGAGAAAGGGTTTCGGTATGCCATCGACTGTCAAGTTCCTAAGTTTGAGAAACATAGTTTTAAACTTGTTATTGTCATTTGACGATTTCATACATTAATGCAACATTGTTGCGTCTAAGACAATAAATTGCAAATTATTCGGTTCTAAAGTTACCTGCAGAAGACGATGAAGAGTTCGTGGATCAACGGCGTGTTGTCGAGAACTCGCTACCCATCTTATCAAAGCTTGCTGCAATTCAGTGACGTCACCTTGCACCGCGTGTTGATGTAAAATTGTTAGTGCGGTTTGCGGCAGTTCTCCAGTAAAATCTTCCTAGAGAACACGCAAATGCGTATAAAAACACGCTTGATTAAAACAATTCTTAGATTATGAATTAGGTTGCTTTGAAACGCAATTTATAAAATGTTAACATGCGTGCATTAGCACTTTATTTAATATTTTGATAGAGATTGTGTGTTTACTTGACCATTTTTCTATTATCTGTTTTAGAATTTTATTACACCTGCTTGAAATTTTATGACGATATAAATCGTCATAAATCAATATAATGATTCTCTCTTTCCTTCTTCATATTGCATGTTTAATAAATATGGGGATGCATAATATAGTGTATCATATTGCGAGAAAATTTATGACGCCGTTATGCAATGTACGATATAAATACACATTTATCGCGTGGGACAGTCTGTGTTAGTTGATTATACATACCCCTTGTTTTTTCATTTCATGATTAAGGAAAACCGTGTACAGCCTCTCCTGTTGTCTTAATTCACCCCAATTATCCTCTTCGGATGTCCCACGGTCCTCCCTAGTCGACAGCCATAATTTCAGTCTAATTCTACCTTGGATATTACTTCTTTGTGTTCGCGCTTCCAATTTGTACCATTGATCCACTCCAGTGCTTGGAATATCCTGGAAAAAGTGATAATACTATATATTTCTATTCTATTTTATATTTTTGATTTTATTTTTTTGTACTGTCAATTATGATCACTGTCTTATTAAACACAGTTTTGAAGAATTCAGAAGATTTTTAATTAATTTTCTTGATATTTTTAGAAAAGTCTTTTTTTCAAAATAATTGATTCAGATAATTCAATAAACATTTTCAGTCCTTATTTCGCAGATACTATTCTCTACATTAATAAATTTGAAATTCTATTCTATTTATTGTTGGAGTTTGCTAAAGTACTTTATTAATAAATCAATTATATAAATTAAACAATTACCACTAGAGGGATGTTTACACAACCCAAGAAGTCGTCCTGACTTCCAGTTCGAGCGCTCTGCGCGATTTGCTTGAAAAATCGCCCAAGCCCTTTCACGCCTCGCACCTCGTTGAGTTTGATTACTGCATCGAACACCGAGGACTCGTCGTCGTGGTCCCTGAAATCATCGATATAAGTTTTAAGTAAAGTCTCTCCTGATCGAGAGAATTTTTATTTGCGTATATAATTTCTATTTTCCAGAAAATAATCAAGATTAATTATTTTCTAATTACTCCAACTTTTTAAATAAATTTTAAGACAATATTAACACAATTTTGATGTTTGTTTTTGATGGTCATTTTTTATAAATTTATACATATGCGTTTATACAAACTCACCATATGTCCAGATGAAGAATGTCCGTATTGATGTCGTCGATGTCGCTAAAAGAGGAATCAACGGACGATTATGCACTGCTACAGATTTGCACTACTTAGACTAAAGAGAGATCATTGGAAGCACTAATTAAGGATCAGATCCCAAAGTTTGCGCTTACAAACGAAACTTCTCGTTCCATCGTGGGCTCAGCGTGTGTGGCTTCACTGAGGTTGCTCGTATAAACTTCGCAGGTAGAGCACCGCTCAAGGACTCGCGGTGTTCCCGTCTGCTATTGTGTTCCTTACGCTTAAACGAAAGCCTGAAACTGATTTCGAACAAGCAATTAACTAACCATCATCATTTCATTACAAATGCCCTAAATCTCCAACTGTCTTTCTTTTATCGCAGCGATTATTGTACCGTGTTTTGTTTTGGTTGTTGTACTCTGAGAAATAACAATTACACACTTTCGTATAAATTTTTTTTTTCTACACAATAAACTTTAAATTGCGTTGCAATTACACCGTTATCTCGTATTAATCGACGGACATTTAAGAGTGTACGCGAATCCTTAATTTAGAATATCGCGGCCAATTAATCTAAGATCTTAACACAAATTGGTAAATTGCATCGTGGAAGATAACGGATAGGGTCTTGAGTTTTTCTCACAAAGCTTCCAAGTTCTCGATGCCAATGCGCAACATGATAAATTCTGCTCTCGAATCCAAATGGGGATTCTGCGCGACTGAAGAACCGCGCGCAAACTGGCGCGTCTCGCTGCAGCCCGTAACATACTGTTTCGCTCCTGTGTTGTCGTCGTATTAATCATTTTACTTATATGTACCATCAAACGAATGAAATAATGTGGGAGGATACACCGGAGAAAATGGGCTTGTACACTCTCAATGCTCCTGTTCGTTTCTCCACTCGCGAGAACGTCGTCCGCGCAACTTGCATCCGGCGCGTTCATTGTGCATCGCATTGCATTGTCGCAAATGTCGTGGGAGTTAGCAAGCGGTAAATGCACATATCATCGCGCGATACGTGGATTCGTAACGTGTTAGATTGGCGTGTTTTAAGCTTGCTTAGTTTTAACCTTCCATTATTCCGAAAATGTAACGGATGTGACAGTATATCCTTCGTTGAATAAAGTATCTGGTACACGTGTATGTTATTTGTTTGTGAAAGATTATTTTTACATTTTTGCATGGGTATACATATAGATGTATGATGTATGTATGTAAATTTATTTTAGTTATAATTTATATATTAATAAAAAGTTTTCGTTTAAATATAAATATGTTTTAAGTATAGTTATAATAAACATTATACAAACAATGATATGTGCATATGCAAATAATATATTACTGGATAATATAAATATAAATATAAATATAAATATAAATATATTCATGCAATTATTCAATCCTCTAAAAAATAAATTTATATATGTCCTTTTAAATCGATAGAAGCAAAATCTTAAAAGTTTATAATTTTCTAATATCTATTTATATATACAAATCCGTAGATTTACGCAACACTTATTTAAATTCATAAATGATCTTTAATAATTCTTAATTTTCTTGATAAGATATGCGCTTCATCATTTCAGTAACTCCTATATCATTAATTGCTATCCTCAGGTGTGCACTTATCTTAAGTGGCACGCTGTCAGTGTTTCATCGCGCTGTTGATAACAGTAGACATTCCGCAATATTAATAATCAATGACACTTGAAACCATAGATTATGAAAATCGCATCATTAATATCAATTGTATGATTAATATTAATAAAAAATAACAATCTTATAAAGTGGAAAATAATTTAAAAGGGACAATTAAATTTTCTACGAGAAATAGAGAATAAAATTTGTCAGCCGTGAGCAGAAGCAATTTTATTTAGAACGATTAACACACACAATATCTATCGCCAGACTAGAATAAAAATATGCTGAATGTGCGGTAGGCTAAAGGTCATACGTGATAAGGATTGTTCATATAATCTCATGTTAATTATAATTGTAATATCAATAGTAATTAAACTTGTCAAAAAAGTGCACAGAAATAATAATAATAATTTTATAAAGTTTTACACATTCAATATGCTTGACGTGAGAAAGTTCGATCATCTTTCTCGCTCATCGACTTACCTATGATGTTTCCGAAGCTTCTCGTGGTGCGAGTTCTCGTTGTCACCACCATCCGACAGGGCGCGAGTCGTTTGTCTAGGGGATGCTGGTGGTGTATGTGGCGAATGCGCCGATAAATTTGTCTGAGGACTCAATGGCGCACCTGCGTTGCTAGGCTGTATTCCCAGCATACAGTAAGGGTCGCTGAATCCTAAAGAAAATAGCAGCATCATTTTGATGAAAAAGGGAGAGATATTTAGAACGTTATATATACAAAAAAATAAAAATTCCAACATTTTTTAATATTTTGATCGCCATGTGCTTTTTTGTTAAATGTTTTAACGATTAATATTTTGCACTTTCCATTAAAATGTCGCAGCAGCGTCAACATTTGCCGTAGCATTAAAATTTTCAACATCAAATGTCTCAACAAAGTTAAGTTTAATTCGCAGTTAGAACTCTGTTAAACTAAAGTACGCTTTGTAAAATAATCGTGGAATATAATGTCGACATTTGTTTACAATACATTTGTGAAAAATTATATTACTTGCAGTTGCTTTTAAAATTTGAAAGGGTAATTCGTGGGCTGCAATAAAATGGAATGTATACTTACCATTGACGTCCTTTGCCTCGAGTCCATCGGCTTCTATTACGACCACGCTTAGCACAACAATAGGTGGCTTGTAACGGTAAATAAATTTAATTTAATTAAATTTTTTATATACATATATGCAGTATTATATCTTGTATCGTCATAATAATGGCATTTTAGCAAGACATTCTTCGCGATGAGAAGGGACGCACCGCTTTTGAGAAGAGAATCAATAAATCGGTATACCTTTTCTTCCGAGGCAATATTAAGATATCGCCTGTGCTGATCCGGCGGGACTCCAAAAGCTTCCTGAGCATATCGATATAAATCCTCCTTATAATGTGCGTATTGTCCTGTACTGGCGCCTACTGTGTTCGCAATTGTGTAAAGGACTTCTATATACAATTGCTCTATCTGAAAAATGCATCAATATCTTACAATCAGTGATAAGCAGATAATATCCGATTTTCGCATACAACTAATTTTTAATATATATAATTTTTTATATATATATTTTGCGAAGCTGTTAAAATTATTACTGTAGCAAAAAAAAAATTATTACACAATTAATTATAATTATTAGATAACGTAGTTTATTCGATGAGATGATGAAAAACATAATGACATTAAGCGATGTTTATAAACGGGATAATTTTACAGAAATATTAATATATGAAAATTATCTTTAAAAAGATAATTAAATTGCGACTTAAAAATTATCTTATTGAACAGTTGCGTTTCCTTCATTTTTTCAAGAACTTAAAGTGATAAAGTTCATTATGCGAAGAAGATTATAACTTGCTTTATAAAGAATGTTCTAAAAGAGCGTAAAACCGATTCAAGAAGCTTTGCATTTTTGTAAGTTTATATTTTTTTCAAGATTGCACAAGTTACATTGTTATTATTTTGTTGCGATAGTTAAGCTTTAGAGAATTAATAAAAAAATTGGTTTGTATAAAAGTTTATAATATTCAATATATTCATTAATAAAGATATATAATTACTTTATATTTCATGTTTGTTTTTCTGTTATTCATAAACCACATTTGAAAAAGATAAATATGGCTTATGAATAATTATAATCAATATATATAAACTCAGTTATATACATAAAAAACACATCGTTTCATATTATTTTTTTGCTAAAAAAGGAAAAATATCCTGTTTTTTCTTCACGTTTATAAAGAGACAATGTTTTTTGCTTATTATTTTTCTTTCAAACATAATGCATTGCACCTTTTTACGTTATATCAATAGGAGGAAAAATAAGGATAAAGATTAAAAAAAGCTAAGATGGCAAGACATTATATTCGAGAAAAGTGGATAAAAAGAGAAATGAAATGAACATGATAAATTTGATTTGAAAATTTCGTTACAAACTCGTGGACTTTCTTGGAAATGTATATACATATAAATGTTTATCTGTTTGAATATTTATTTTACCTCATAGTCAAAAATTTGCAAGATGACAACATGAAATGCAGATGTCTAGGAATCCAGAGAAATAATACATAACTTTTGATAGAGAATTCTCCATAAACTTTTCATTCAATTCAAAGACATGTATAAAACAAATCCATAGATTTGTATATAACTACAAATATGTATAAAAATTATATACTATATTTATATATTAAAATATTATGTATATAGAATTTATATATATATATATATATATTTTTGCTCTTTTGCACAAAATAAAATAGAGATGTACACAAGATTTATTTCCATAATTTTTGAAACATTTTTATTAACACGATAAAAGTTTGCATATTTAATACTATATGTTTAATGCTATGTTTTTCTGTCAGGATAAATTTAAATCTATTGTTTCTCTATGTAAATATATGCGAATATTTAATATTGTATTATTTGAATAACATATTTTCTCTACCAATTCTACTGAATACGTATGTATGTAGCCGTGTAAACCAATATATATATAACAAGTAAGAAATTGTATAACATTTGAAATTGGAATTTTTAAACTTGAAATTCGAACACATACCGAATTGGAAACATGAGCTGTATTTCCCCACACGTTATTCTTGGTAAATTGAAACGCGAAGATAGAGTTTACTTTTACGGGCCTTTTACCTGTTATTTCGATCCAGTGCGGCGCTTTATCTACTTAGAATAATACTTCAAACGCAAAACAGACGTAACTATTCGTTCACATGCAAAGTCCACTGTAACCAGGATGAATGCGTGCTAAATGTAACCGCACGCGATTCGATTTGCAACGCAAAGGTGCAGAAAACCGTCTCCTATTTGTTGAATAATTTGTAAAATAAAATTCTCGAAGAAAGCGAATTAAAATTCCTGACTTGCAGAAATATCTGATAGTCTAACGTCATATATTTTTATAACAGAATAAGTCAAAATTTTGCATGTTTTAGAAAAAGGAAATAAAAAATAGAATTTTGCGACAAAGTATAGGTTTTACTGACCTCCTTTTTGCTAAGCCGATATGGATGTGAGGAGGAAATCGGGTCTCTGGACGGTGGTGGCGGTTCTTTTGCTCTTGCTTCCACTTCCTGAAGGACAACGAGTCTCCGATTCTCCTGCTTCCAAGATAACGCAGTAAAGCTTTCGAAGAAGGATCCATCCGTTTCTTGAACACTATATAATTAATAAATTATTAAAGTTAAAAATCTTAATAATTTCTTATAAGTTATAATGCAGTAGACTCATTTGTCAATAATGATAAGAAATTAATAATAAAAGAAATAATAATTAGAAATATTATATAATAAATATGTAATGTAAATACTAATAAAGTTTTTAGTTATGTTTTAATTGAATAATTAAATATAGTTATAATTTATAAGATTTATTGTTTGTCTCAAAACATGTTTATATTTATGCAAACATTTTGTGTGTGTGATTGGTGATATACACAAATATTAATAAATATTAATAGATTTTAATTAGGTAAGAGCATGTGCATTTTTGCATGTGTCATATTTACCAATAAACATGGTCACTTTTACAAGCAAATATATATTTTAGTTTGTTATTGATCGCATAAATAAATACATGTTATTTACACATATAAGACATATTTTTAAATAGCAAATATCAATCCTTTATAATCAATTAAATTATACTATTCATTCTATGCATACTATTTTTGTACGTTATTAAATACACTGTTGTTTATGACACAACCTCTATATATCCACTATACATCTCTAAATAGTAGAAATAAATCAGGAAAAATAAGTAAATTTCGCGATATATTAATGAAGAGAATAGAGTACGTGATTTGCGTTTGTAAATAAAACTTATTACCACACTTCGCACATCAGTTTATTAGGTCAACGATTTTTTCACCATCGCGTGAGCACCCAGTTTCGCAATCTCGCGAAACTATCGATCGCTTATCGAGGTTTTTTCTGCGTTGGAATTTTAATATGACATATATACACGTTTCAAGTGTATGTAACAAACATGCAAGAAAATCTTTCGAATAATTCAATATCTTGTATATGAAATTATTTATTTTATCAATTATATTTAATATATTTTTGTATATATATATAAATAAATGTTCCAATTAATTATAAGATTGTAATTTGTAATGAGAAAATTTTATTAAAATTTTACCATACATTTTTATATTATAGATTTACAATTTTCACATTATTTGTGATAGTTTTATGATATGATAAAAACAGGCATTGCAACATGTATATGCGTATTGGATAATCCTACAAGTGTCGTCAAAATTCCAGCGAAAATAATAATTAGTTATATTTTGCTACTAGCCAATTAGGACTTTGATCTTTGTTAAAAAATAATGTTTTTCGTTAAGGCAAGTTTTGTTATTGATATTAAGATGCTCGGTTGCAGAAACGTGGTATTAATGGAGAGATGTTGTTAAGTAGCTCGATGGCGCAAACCTATAATTGTATCAAGATGATAGGGATCTTGATACTCCGATAGGTATCGCAAGAACATATTCTATGCACGATCGCTCAAATTAAACTTGCGGTGCACGGAGCGTGCTTTGTTGTTAGTTTCCTCTATACACTGTGTAGAGCAGAGACTAAAACAAAGTTCTTCGTAAATGTTGTAAATGTCTCACAATTACATAAAGACTTTCTAAAATTTTTAATTTGATCTTTTAATTCTATATTTTCTTTTTTATTTTTTTTGCTTATAATAACATTTATGTTCTTCTTTTATTAATAATATATAATAATATATAATGTACATATACAATTATATATATATAGTTAATAATATGTTATTATAGAGCGTATTACCTGTCGTTTATTTCATTATTTTATTGCTTGTTATTAATATAATTGGCACCTCAATCAGTTGCAATTACTTCGTCCTTTGAACGAGTTCAAGTCACTAGAGGTATCATAATGAGAAATCTTATCTTACACCGAGTCATGTTTCAAAGCCTTTACTGCAAGAAAACCAGCCATAAAAAAGTGCTCTGGGTATAAAAGCTGCATCTTATAGAACTTGAACTGTACGCGTCATTTACATAATGCGCGACATTGACAAAGCTCCCTTTTACATCCAGCCTGCTTCCTTTTACATCAATCATGAATCGTATAATGCCCAGGCGATTTTGAACATTAATATTTTAATGACGTTTTCATAATTAAAGAGTGACATTATCGGTCGGATGAATTTGCCCGTCGATTCAATTTTTAATTTAGTAAATGATTTAGCGACACATTTAGATGACTCGTTTCACGTTGTGATTTAATTGCGACGCAAAAAAGTGTGCAAATTTATTTCAATTTTTGTAATTATTACGACTAGATGTGAGGAAGGATTACGTAACTCGTACCAATTTCATATCGCCAGTCCTATAAAAATATTCCTCTCAAAAGTCGCACATGCGTGTAATTTAAATCGAAAGGCAAATGCACACACTGACAGATATTTTTTCGATTTTTGCTAATTGGAAGTTAATCACAGTAATTTCTCCAACTTCTTCTCTCGTTATTGTAGACTTTATATTCACAATATTATTTAAGTAAGATTAAAAATTATTTGTTACTTTTTAGCGTAAGCTTGATTTTTATTTCATTTTAATATATATATATATATATATATATATATATATATATATACATATAATCATAATAATGTTGTCTGTTTAGAATAATTACATAAAATGTTTTAATTTTATACTTTCTCTTGTTAATTAAATAAATTTATATTTGCTAATTTTTATAATTGAGTTTCCCATAACAGAAATTGAATAATTAATTATTTTAAACAATTTTAAAATCAAGTATTTTAATAGCGCTAATGTTAAAACATATATCAAATATCTATTAAAATACAACGTTTATTGAGAATCAACTGATTAAATCATACATATTTTGTAATCTGTTTCCTTTCTATTTTTATTGTTATAACTCCAATTGAAGCATATCAAAACCATTATAATAAGTTGTTAATTGGAGTAACGTGTGTGGGTACATATAAAATTAATACGTGTAACTGATCATCTTCATCATTTTAATTTGACTGCTACCCGATTAATACAGCTTATTTATCCCAAAACATGAAAATGTTATTCGCAATCTTTGTCAAGAATTTTTTCGTTGACGGAAATATAAGGTCATGGCAAAGTGGTGAACGCGGAGTCTAAATTGAGGGCACAAAGGCGTGTCGCTGAGAAGACGCGGAGAGGACAATAATGCCGTCATGGTTCTTTACAGAGAACCAGTGAACGCGTAAAAAGAGCTGTTCACGACAAGAGGGAAAAAGTACTGCGAAGGAACACAACAAGCCGTGGGCATCCTCCTAATGGAAACCAAAAGCACATCGACGACATTCTTCTCATCGTCATTCCACCGTCGAAAACACGTTCGCTACGCGCTGTGAATTCTAATTCGATCAGCTGCGACATTTCATTGAACCTTTAGCTCAATTTTCAAAGGTTTACTTCGTAAATCAGAATTCTTTAATTAAACTTGGAAAAAACGTAAGTAATTTTTCTCATATCACCTTACATGCAATTATTTTTCCGTATCTTTATTTTTATTTATTATTAAGTTTCATCTTCTCTCTTTTCTTCGCTTAGAAAAGATATTGGATGTAATCAAATGCAAACTTTTTCATTTGTTTACTTCTAGAAAAGAATTCTTTGAATCTGTAACACTACAGTTCAGGAATAGAATATCTCAATACTTATTATTTTATGTTATCTATATCTACAATATATAATTTTATATAATATTCATTATTTTATTATATTATTTCTATTTATATATATAATTATATTTTTTTCTCAAAATTAATCAATACTGATAATAAAATATTCTAGCTTCTGGCTCGTAAAATAATCACTTATCTTTTTTTTCTTTATTATCGAAATAAGTTTGCACGCGCAATTCTATGCGGTAATTATATTTTGCGTGTCGCATAATATATCCAAGGCTAACGTAATGTTTTTGATTACTTGTAATTTGTTTAATTGTTATTTAATGACTTCTTCGCAGCATGCTGCAAAGTGTGCAAAGTTACATTAGTCTCCTGCTGGTTTTCTTAAAATTAACCGTGCGGCGATAAGCGATGATAAAATGGAGCGATAAGATTCTCTTACTAGGCGATAAATTTAAAATAAAACAAATTATATATAAACATTATTTTGTACGTCATTGCTACCACAATTTGTTGACCTTACAAAAATAACTATATCAGTCTTTCTATCAATTAGATTAAATTATAGTCAATTATATAAATTACAATTTTGTAGCCTTATATATAACAAAGATCTTTTACAATCTAAATTATAAATATTTTTTCACGATCAAAACGTATTTAATATAAATACTAATAATTAATAAATTGATATATTATAAATTCTAACAATTCCTTAACAAATGAATTAATAAATATGAATCATATGAAATACAAATAATCATTTTTTAAATTAAAATGTAATTCTAAATATAGTGCAATTTAAAATAAATTTTATAAATTATTATTTAGTTAATTTTAGATGTATTTTGTTTATGTAATACTTATCTATGATAGAATGTATAGTGTGAAGAAGTACACACAAAAGGAAGCAAATTAGCAAAAGCATTAGTTTCAAAATTGTATATTCCTCCATTTTAACATCTCTATATGCTAAATAAAAATTTCGTAATCCATATGAAAACAACACCTTTTTATAACATAAAGTATTAAAATAATTTGTTTAAAAAATATCTTCTGGGATTCAATTTGTAAGAGAACATGGTAGATTTCTACACCCTGTACAGACATATTCTTCTATAGTTTCAAAATCATTTGAGCGAAGTATATTATTCCTGAATATAATAGTTTTATTGTTGATTCTTTCTTTTATTCTCAGTATTCGCGTATTGTCTTCTTTTTCGAGAGATCAAAATTTTCAAGTTGTTTCTATGGAAACTAGTTACTGGACAGAAAATGTTATAGCAAGCTCTCATAATATACTCTAAAACGGAACAAGCAAAACTAGTTGTAAGTGAAGAATAACTGTTGAATACTTATCCCACTTTGTCATCTCATTAGGAATTCATAATAGTCTATCTTGTTGAAAAATCATCGTAAAATATTCAAATCTTATAATATTATGTACACTCACAATTTTTGTAATCTATAGATTTAAA